GCATTAGAAATGAGCCGTTTTTATCTACCAGAGCATCCCGCACCGGGTCGCCGTTCCGCGTGGAAAGTCGCCCCAATGTTACCTACCAGTAGCCCAGGAAGGGAGCGAGAACTGAACAGCTGGCTGTAACTGTGCGTAAGTATTCCACAGCCACCCTAATGTGGTCTCCTAACACATTTCACAAGCCCCCCGTTGCTTTATGTCCCAAGGAGTCAACCAAACTCAAGGTAACCGGCGGCGTTCCTGTATGTTGGATAACCCTTACAGCTGAGATGCCACGTAAAACCCTTACACACCTGTTTTTTGCAAAAACTACTCGACTTTATTTAAGTTTATTTTCAAGTTTGTTTTAGCATTTTCCGAACTCCTTAACTACTCATTCATACTTTCAGCTCCATTCACACACAATGTTCCACATCTTACAGACATTTTTGTTTTTTTGGTTTTTGAAGCTTAGTCACAATGGAAGTCAATTAGAAAACAAACCCACCCATCTTCAACCTCTCCGCTCACAGAAACTCCATTCAAACTATTAAACTTTCAAGATACTTTAGGAACTTTCTCACATTGATTCACCATTTTCATATCTTTCATACTTTCTACACAATCGCAGTTAAAAGTTTGTGCAATTTTCATCCCTTCTAAGATGTTTGAGTTAGTGTTTGTGGGGCAGATTGTTTAAAGCTAGTGTGCTATTATAAAAGTGTGGAGAGGAGCTGTAAAATCATCTTAGACATTTCTTTTCAACTTCATTCTCACAATTTTTACTCCATATACATCATTTATCTTATCTTTAACAAGCAGAAACGGCCACTTTTGTTACCTGTTCACGTGCTCGTATTTTTTGAAAATATACACACAAGTTTCACACAGTGTGCTCAGCAGGGTCTCCTAGTTACTGTCTTTGAGGATGAAGCAGGAGGATGAGGCATTAGATTCTGCATTATTCTCACTCTCTGAGACAGGAGTTGAAATAGCACCAATAGTTACCATTACCATGGAAACCTTTGACTGGAACATACAGCTGATTGAGACGAGCTAATTAGTGCAGTTTGACTCACAGAGAACTCACAAATCTTCACACACAAGTCATATCTGCTCATTCATACTTTCAGATAGAAACTCCATTCACATTTTTCACATTTTTGTTTTTTTCAATTTTTCAATCCCATCCCCACTTATTAGACCTTTTCCCCACTTCTCCAAGTCCTCATATTCCTTCAGTTGCTTCTTCATGTACGTTAAGCCATCTATGCAGTTTAGTTCCCAGCCATCGTCATGGAAGTGAAAGCGGGAGTAGGTGTTGATAAGAAGAAGGGAGATCAGGAAGGAAGGGCAGTTAGGTGCAAAGGGCATGCCTCCCTGGTTTGTTGCTTCTGGCCATTTTTCTTCACATCCACATCTCGTACAGCATCTGGACTGGAAAACACAATCCCCCACAGTTTTGATAGTGCAGAGCGTTGGTGCAGTGATGGTGGAGCCAACATGTTTCCTAAAAGAGTTAACATGAGTTATCTGCTATGTGTGTTTTACCACCATTGAGTCTTTAAATCCTGGTAAAACCTGTTGAAATAAAAACACTTTTTACTGTTATGTTTTAGTTCTTCTACTATTCTGTTATGTGCAGAATTATTAATTCAATTTGTTTTCAATTCAAGTATTGGACAGCTGCAAATCAATTTTGAGTAATGACACGTTTATATGTGTGTCACAACTTACATTTTAAACTGGAGTTTTGAAACACAAGAAAACAGCATTGGAGTATTGTATATATTATGCAAATAACATTTTGAGTAATACATTAATACAGTGGAGATGATGACTTACATGTTGGCAGAAAGAAGCTGATTAGGAAAGGGAAAGAGAAAAACAAATAAATGAAAGATGATGAATGCATGGCAGCTGAGAGTATATTACAGGAC